AAAAAAAAAAAAAAAAAAAAAAAAAAAAAAAAAAAAAAAAAAAAAAAAAAAAAAAAAACTCAATAGAAAATATTTTTAAAAGTAATATAAAATGAAAAACAGCTGGTGTTTAAAAAAATCCCCCTAAATAATTTTTGATCTAAAGATGAGTACATGCAATAATTTTTCTAAAAGATATCTTTTAAATACTTATGGTTCGAAGTTTTTTTGTTGAATGCTTCATCAAATGTACGATATATAAGTGGTTTCTCTTTCTCCTAATTCGTCATTATTTCAAGAAACACCGAAAAAGAAAAGTTCTTAAAGGTTTTAAATATTTTCAGCTTAGTGCAATATTCACCTCATAAAACTTTTTTTTTAAATTTATTTTACTGGTAGTTAGCGCATATTAACCGGAAATACTCACTTCCAATCGTTTTGACAGGAATTAATGAAATTTAGAGTTCAAAGGCTAGAATTGGATAAGTCGCTTCAATTATAAACATAATTTTTTTGATACACAAGGTGATGAAATCAAACACTTTTACAAACTATGTTTGAAACTAAAATAAAAGGACCAGTTATAATTAAGAGAAAAAAATCACTAAAAGTCTCAAGTTTGTGATTCCTATATTTACCTAAACAGGGTAAACCCTCCAAGATGTCAGCGGAGCTTGAGAGAAGATATTTTATTTACAATATCCGCACTTCATATAACTTGCATTATCATCCTTAGTACCCTATTTGTTCATTCTAAGAAATGTTTTTTTATTTTTTATAAGAAAGATATGTCGACTATGCCTAAAAAAACAACATTTAAATTTATTTTATAATACATCGTCTTCTCATAATGTTCATCAGTTTGGATATGGAGTTGATGGCGGACAAGAATTGTTCATTTTCTTCCTTTCAGCGAATTCCAGAAACATCAGTTTTTATCTTCACAAAATTCACACACGTTTTTAGATGATTTCGCACATTTCAAAGTTGTGATAATTCTTTTTTACAAAAGGATGTCCCTTGGTCTTAATTATATTATAAGGGTGAGTGGTGTGAGGTACTTCGATTATGTCGGAATTAGTTTCGGTTTTTAGCGGATAAACACTGAATTATATTTACTAGTCAAGATGAAGGTACTATGTTGTGTTGATTGTGACATATTGTTGTTGATTAATTCTCAGCGTTTGTGTAGATAAGTTTGTTCTTTTGTTTTTAAAGTTGCTTTATATTATTAGTTCGTCATTACAGCTGCAAAATTATTTTTAGTCCAGCTTATTATACGTTTACTAAAGATTCATACCTTAACAAATAATAAGAAAATAGTAGCACTACTCTGTTATGATTCGATAACTTTTTCTCTCAGAGTAAAATTGGGTACTACCTGGTTTTGTCCCCACTTTCTTGATGGGAGTCTTTGCTGGGCCCACAAAAGCTCCAGTACAGTTAAAGAAAACTAAATCCATGGCAGAAAACAAAGGTGCTACAGACCCAAAGACAAAATTTATTGCAGGCCTCTTCTTCAAAGCACATAAAGCCTTATTTTTATATTTTGTAGAATTTTTGAAGTATTTTATACAAAATTGTAGTTTTTATACAAATTTAAAGAATCTCTCTCCAATTTTGCTTTAAAGACAATTTAATGAGCACTACATTTTTCGGAAAGGAATTTTGACTGAGCACTCAGCAGCCCCTGAGACAATCACCCCTTTGTGTACAGCCTTTACAACATCTAAAGTAAATTACTTGCATAATTTTCTAAAATTGTTATATAAAATAGAAATGTCTGCTACTGAATTCTAGTACTTATAAATTTCCCATAGCAGGGTTGCCACAGAAAAAAATGAACAAAATAGTTGCTTCTAGTAGCCTAAAGCATGAAAATAGTCGCCTAAAATGATGAAAATAGTTGCCTAAATAAGAACAAAAATTTTCAATAATATGACTAAAATTTTATTAAATGACTTCATTGTAATATACCATGATCCATTTAGTCAAGTTGAAGGCCAATATGATAAATTTTAAATAAACGTTAGTGTTGTAGCACTAAATTTTTTTATAAAAAAAATTTGAATATTTGCAGAACATTAAATACTTTTAAATGCTAGAATTAATGTAGAAAAAAAAAATTTTGTTAAAAAAAAACATACTCTTTCTATTAATTTTTCCTTTTATCAATAATTGATTCAGCAAACATATATACATTAAAAAAGTGATTACCAAAATTCGAAACTCATGCATCATAGTATTAAAAATTGGGTTCTTTAAAATAATACAGAGTTTCGTAGCAATAACTGTTGAAAAGGTGATTTGGAAACAAAATAGATTCACAATGGAATCTGTGCAAATTGAGCGCATTAAAAAATGACGACTCAAATTTGTAATTCAATATTTTTTTACTTTTTAGAAGAAAAAAAATCATTATGTCCAGAAGCTGTTGCAGGCCACAGGTTGTCAACCCAATTTATGCTTAAAAAAACATTGCTAGGAGCACAGAAAAGTTTCCCAATAGTTTCCTTTTCCTGAAAATAGTTGCTTTTATAGCCTTTTCAGGCTAAAAAAGTGGTGCAATCAGTGTTTTCCTTTTTCTCCTGCAAGCTTCAACATGAAATATTAGAGATTTGGAATAAATAGTAATTTAACACTAAAAAGTCATGTAATTAATTAGACAAACTATATACTTTATAGTTGAATAAAAAAGTAATAGAAATAGAATGTCAACTAACAATCAGTTTGTGAAGTACACAAGATAATCTTAACTTTATTAAGTAACAACTTAGCACTACAAGCAATCCAATGACTAAGGTTTACCCTTTTTCCTCCCTTTTGTTATTGTTATGTTTTTGTATCATTGGTAGATCATAAGAACAAATATCAGTAGCTTGTCTGTTTTATTTGAGAAAATTTTATTTAGCCCACCAGGTACAAATGTATAACTCTCAAATGATTTTATTATTATTTTTTAGGAGGATTGTTAATTAACCCCTTGACATGCGAAGACGTCGTTTGTTTCTAATGTCAAAACAATAATTGACATGTCTCAGAAGTCTTCAACACAGAGATGCCAACTTGTTATCGTTACTTAAATGGATTGAAGAAATTAATGCAATATATAGAACACACAAAAATAGTTTTATTTATATACACAGAGATGCCAACTTGCTCCGGACAGCGAATAAATATTTTAAAGTAGTAGTTTATTAATTGTGATTCGTGGTTTAATAAATTCAATTTATTAGATTTTTATCCACCACAATTTCTAACTAATTCGTAGGCTTATATAATTCACCACTTTATAGTAGTTATGTCATGCTATACCTTTTAAAAAGCAAGCAAAAATAGTCAAATATTTGCAAAATTTAGTTTGTAGTCATTTGCTGTTTTTTAAAAATTATTTCGGCATGTCCGGAGCAGTTGGCATCTGTCAACATTCCGTTGCGATTTGTTGTTTACAGTGCAATCAAAGATCATTTCTATATCAAGAAATTAATAATTCCTCACAGTTTAGAGTTTTAAAATGACATGTCAAGGGCTTAAAAAAATTGCTAAAACTTATTATAATTATAAATCTCATGAATCAAAAATAGGGTTAATAAATTCTTACTTTATTTAAATTGCTTAAACTTTTTAAAAGTCATTTGCTCTTATTTACTCTTTGATCAATATTTTTTAAAAAATTACCTCCTTTAATTTATATAAGTGCATTGTGCTCCCTTCTAACTGTAAGATGCAAGAGAAATATATTTCAAATAATAAATACCTTTAAAAGAGTAGTCTTCTGAGTGATGTACATAATAATGCTCTTTTGCTTGTTTTTTTGTGTGTAAAGGATATAAGTTTTTACAAAAAAATTAAATTTGAAAATAATTAGAATTTTTAAATTAAAAAAAACAAGCAATAAAAAAAGAATAATTATAAAATCTATTTTATTCAAAATCTCACCTTATTGGATTAATATATATATAAAACAAAAAAAATCAATAAACTAATACTTTTATAAAATTGAACAAATGTCATGATTTGCAAAGGAAAAAAAATTGTACCAAAAGTTAACAGTAATACAAAAATAATAATAATGAAAAAAACATAACACTGTTCAAGATATAACCATATTTTAAATATTTAAAACTCTTAGTATTGAATAATAATAACAAAATGAAACATTAATATTCAAAGTAANATATATATATATATATTAAAAAATGCATACATAAATAGCGCAAATGAAAAACCACAATAAAAAACATTTATACTGACTCTTGAAAATGTTATGCGCTTAATTACTAGCTTTAACAATTGTTTGAGTTTAAACAAAATGATACTAAAGGCATTCTATTAATTACGATATTCAAAATTTTGCAGAAATAAAGTCAATGTCATGTAGAGTGCATGAGAAGAAATAGAACATAAAATTTAACATCCTAAATAACTTTTGATCTAATAATCGGATTTTTACATACCAAGACTCAATCTTAAAGGTTTGATTGAATGAAAACAAATATTCTAATTAATTAGTGCAGATGATATTCTAAGTATAAAAAAAAAATCACACACAAAAAAGTACTTTCTTTGAATAAATATATCTTTTTTTCTTGACGAACTTGAATTCCTGGCCCTTAAAATGTATCTGCAATGTGTGAAATATGATCCCAATAGCTTAGTCAAGACAGCAGTCAAATATTTGGATAATATATAATAGCGTGTAAAATTTTTTTCAATTCACTTAAAAAGTTTTTGTGATATGGCGAAATATTGACTACCAATTAATATAATTATTTTTGTTTGGAACGATTTCTGGATAAAAAATTTTTATAATAGGGTGCAAAAATGTTTTCAATTCACTTAAAAAGTTTTTGTGATATGGCGAAATATTGCAAAAAGAAAATTATTAAGGGGTTCAAACTTCGGACTGCTCTCCTAGCCATATTTTGATTGAAGTAATAATTATAAAAAAAATCGTAAAAAGGTATGCTTATTCAGAAAAAGTAAGTTTTTGTGTCATGCAGTAATGAATTAGCATATTTGAGGTCACCCCTCAAACTATTGAGGCTAAGTACATAAAAATCCAATATTAGAACAAAAGTCCTAGCGGGTGTTTTTTTAAAATTTAATGTACATACGAAATACAAAATAGAACTAATGAACAAAGTCACATGCTGTAATCAATCTATAATTTTAGGTGTACATTGAAACAAAAAAAGAGAAGAAGATAAAAAAAACATTACTACTAAACAAATACTTAATTCAATGGAGACCATCTACTATGAATTGTTTTAACTTCATCAAGAGCAGTTTTATTAAAAATAATACTGAATAATTTTTTTAAAACATTAATGAAACTAGTAAAGTGTTTCAAAATATTTTTTTATTCCCTGCTTATAAACAGAATAGAATACTTATAGTATACTTTTTGCTTTTTAGAGAAGATAAAAATCATTGTTTTGTAATTTTGTTGCACTGTTTTGTGTAAAAAATAATGCAGAAAAGAAAATGTAAAAAAATACATTATTAAAAAAAATCTTTTAACTTTTAATTGCTTTTTAGTATTTTGAAAACAAGGAACACATCTTCACGTATATTTGGTTTTGAAAAGCAATGGCACTTTAGTTTTTTTGCTTTATTAAGAATATCTCTTAATAAGTCCTTTTTGCAAAAAATATGTACAATCAATATAAAACCTAACTTTATACACAAAAATTAAAGATATTAGAAAACTTCTGTTTGATTTTAGATATGGGAATATTTGATATAGAATAGTAGTCAGGTGAAGTAAATATGAAATTCATTTTTGAATAGATTAAAGAGAATTTCTTAGGAAATTTAGAAAAAAAAATTGCATTATATTACACTGGCAATCTTTACAAATCTCGCCAAATCTTATAAATATACTTATTTTTACTTTGACAGTAATTTTTTTTAAAATTTACATACATTGCAATTATACCTTAACCATAAGACGCATTCATTAGTTTATCTACAGTAAATACTAGAAATGTTTATTAAAACCTTAATTATTTAAAATAAATTTACAATTCATAATAATTTTATATTATTATTTTTTAAAATTTGTTTATTCAAGATGATGATGAATTTAAATGCTTATCTTCTAACTCTTTGCAATTCTGAACTTAAAAACTCATATTTCGAGCAGAAAACTGTCTAGCAAACTAGTTTTCTTTCGGTTGAAATACCATGAAACAATAAAACATTACATAGTAATGTTAATTAGTAATAAAAAGAATCAGGGTTAAACATTTTGTCAGCTTTGCCACAAAAATTTTTTTTGAAGCATTTCTTACATTAAATAAATACATTTAAAAAAAAAGAGAACTTTCAGGTGCTTACTAAGCTAGAAAGTTTACTAGACAATCACTAACTTGTGCTGCGAAAGATAAGTTTAAAGAAGATTCAGTTTTATATATATATTTCACAATCATAAAGATGACAGGATTCTTATAATTTGTAAACTCAATTATCCAATATGATTCAAAAACATAAAAGGTGATTAGAAATAATAATTAAAAAATTAACAGAACTTGTAAACAATACTAAATTGCAAATATTTTTCTCTATCCTCAAAAAAATAGTACAGCAGTGACTTTACTTATGATGTATTCTTGAGTATTACGAAAGAAGATTATGCCCAATAAATCCTTAACCTTTATATCAACAAAAAGTCTACATTAGTTAATTTCCTAACAAAACATTTCATTGAAATATTTGTGTATTTGGTTATTATTATTTCTTTTAAATAATGTAATAATAGAACACTAATGTATCTAGTTGTGAAACAAGTAGAAATTGTAGTTGTTGATATAAGAGTTTATACAACCAAAATTAGTTAAGATAAAATCCTCTATCCTCAAAAAATAGTACAGTAGTGACTTTACTTATGATATATTCTTGAGTATAATGAAAGAAGATAATCCCCAATAAATCCTTAACCTTTATAACAAGAAGTCTACTTTAGTTAATTTCCTAACAAAACATTTAATTGAAATATTTGTTTACAATTTAGTTATTTTTTTTTAAAAAACAAAATAAAAAATTAATGCATAGAAATAGATCAGTTATGTATCTGGTTGTGAAACAAGTAGAAATTGTAATTGTTGCTACAATAATTGATACTGTTAAAATCAGTTATAAAATAAAAATGACTAAATGCCTATTTTTCTGCAACTCCCAGCAAAAATATAAAAAGAGAGAAACCATACGTATGTATAACATTCAATATCTACCCACAACATAATTAAACAGATTTATTGGCCTCTTCTTCAGTTTCTTTAGAGCGCAAAGTAGCAACTTCAACAGCTGCCATGAGAGAACCTCGGAAGCAATTTTTTTCCAGTTCATGAATACCTCTAATTGTAGCACCACCAGGAGATATAACCTGATCCTTTAAAAGCCCAGGATGCTGACCAGTCTCTATAACCATTTTTGCTGCTCCCTAAATTGACGGAAGAGTTTCTTTAGAAAAACATTAAACTCATTAAGGTTAGATACACTCTTCATGTGATTAAAATATAGCTTTGATCCTACTCGATATTATTTAGATGAAAGATAAAAATTAATTGAGTGACTTTTAAGGAGTAATGAATTTAAGAATTTTAAAAAATACTTGAAGGATAAGAAGAAATAAATATCTTTCTATGGAAAATAAAATTATTAAAAAATTTAACCAATTGAATTATAATTACAGTTTTCCTAATTCATAAGCTTATAAATTACATGCAAAATTAAGTGCCAAAACAGTATCAAGAATTAAAAAATGACAACATAATAAAAAAATGTACCTCAACAAACAATTTTCCTGTAGAATAACTAACTTCATAATTTAGAAAAACAATTAATCACTTAATTTATTAGAAGTGTAACAAATAAAATTGAAATTTTTTTTATATTTTTAAATATCAGTATTGAGCATGTTTTGCATTTGTGGGCACAGTTTAAAGTTTCGATTATAATTTCTAAATATATTTCCTTAACAATGTTAAACTATGTTTCAATAACAGTGCAATAATAATATAAAAATACAATAATGTTTAAAACTCACAAGGACTGTATGTGCAGCTAATTTCAAAGCTACACTTTTTAGTAAACCCATTTTGACACCTCCATCAGCAATAGCTTCAATCGCCATCAGTACCTAAAATTTAATAATGACAATTATGGAAAATTGTTTTTCTTCCTATTAAATTTCAAAACAAAATATAAATACATCCATAAGCCATTACACCTGCTAAATGCTTCTTAGACACCAGTACAAAGATAACAAATAGAATTTTAAATAGTGAAAAAAATTCAGTAATTTAAAAACAGTATTATTCAATTAAACTAAACACAAAAGAAAAAAATACAAAATTTTATCAAACATCTTAAAATCAAAGCAATGAACTTTGCTAGTTCATTAACATGCAATTTGATACAAATTGTATAGATTTTTAAAAAAAATATTCAAGACCTACATATTGATAATGTTACCTTATTCGTGTAGAGAAAAATGAAATATCAATTAGCTCACTACTCTTTTACCTTTTTCATCAGACGCACTGATTTTATCAAAATGATTAGGCAAGCTAACTGAGCCTTTTGCACTTACATAAAACGGTACATAAATTTCTTCAATAAGGGTAAAATTTTTGGTGTAAGTATTGATTTAGAATCAAGTCAAATAAAGTAATTAAATAAAATATTTTGAAAACAGCTACATAAGTTTTGAAGCCAGATGAAATATTTGAAACTATAAAGAGAAATGTTTAAAATGTACCAGCTCTTTTTTTTTTAATTTTTCATTAGGCACCTTTTTTCCTCTAAAAATTTCAATAAAATAAATTCTTGAATGACTTAAATTGCAACATGGCATTGGCAATAATAATGGTACTAGCAATAGTGGCAATAATAATGGTACTAACAATAACTGGCGCAATGTAACAATAACACTTTTGTTACATTGCACCAGTGCTTCAGAAAATAATAAATTTAAAAAAAAATTATTATTGAGCATACATTTTCTACTCTTAAATGCCCAGAATATAAATATTTAATAATCCACAATGGAACATGTTTTGTTTCACATAAAAGAAAGTAACACATTGAAGAATACTTGTAGATGATACTTAATACTTTTACTTATTTATGAATTATAATCTAAGCGTTTACTGCAAGAATGCTTATTTATGCAAAAGGTCTTATGAATAATACAAAACAAGTCTGTAAATGATGCTTATTAGTGAATACTCCTTTGTTAATAATATCTAATACTTTCTGATTCATACTAAAAATAGGATATTGTTAACATAGGTGTGAATGTAATTTTTTTTTTTTTTACAAATTAACACGAGGCATATCTGACTGTTTACATAAAAATGCATTAAAAAATTGGGAGTTTATTTGAGTTTGAGAATTATGAGAACTGTCTTATGAGTACTATCTAACTCAGAACTTCGAAGAATACTGAAATATTTTCTTAAATAGTGTTACACATAAGCCACTTTAAAATTGGACAGTACAAAATACATAAATTAATACCTACAAATAAAATGATAAAAAAACTTGACAATCATAGAAATTATTTTCATAAAATATAAAATGAAATTATGATTTACTATTTAAAAATCTTTGGGCTATAGGCATACCCTCTAACATTAGCGGTTTCTGTTCAAATTTATTTTTTCTTGTGGTAAACTAGAGTACAAATAAAATTAAAGAAAACTTTTGTCATAATTTAAGAACATGATAAATTACAGAAAAAAATCTGGATATATTTGGAACAGTAAACAAATACTACTACTTTTAAAAAAGACAAACAACAAGTTTAAAAAAGGAAAAAAAACAGAACTTGCTTTATTTAAGCACAAAATTTTATAGCAAAACAAAATTAACATGTACTATTTTGTGAGGAACAAAAAGTTTTAACAGTTTTCTTTTACAACTTTATTAATAAGCATTGAAGTGCAATTCAGTGAACCATTCGCCAACACACTATTTAAGAATGCTATGATATAATTACCGCATTGGTTGATGGGATCAATCATTTTTAAAATCAGATGAAAAGAAGTGTGAATAATTATGAAATAATAAAAATATACTCAACAAGATTTGTTACTGCATTTACTGTAAATGACAAAGAAAGTGCAGGAGCCCCGAATATATCACCATAAAAATCTGATAATGTAAAATAGTTAATTGAGTTTTCCTTTCAATAGAATGACAAAATTCTCAAAAAGTTTGAAAAATATTGAGTCCTGCAGGAAACGCTATTTATCAGAAGCATGCATATAATCAGTGGATAGTGGCAAAATTTGAAGTATCGAAATTTTGCGATTTTTATTAGTATTATTAATTAAAAAGATATTGAATAGAAAATATAAATCTTTTGATTATTCAAGTTGATTATTTTAAAATTAGCATTTTTATTCATTAAAAATAACATGCCACCATACAAAAATTAGGAACATCAGGACAAATGATTAAAAATCATTACAAAATATTTTGCATCAAGAAAAATCAGGACAATTACGAACCCTGAAATTTGTCTATCTGACCTTTGATATACATTTTTAAATTATATATATGAAGTAGTGGACAAAATTCTTTTAATTCTAATTAATTTAAATATTAAAACACTTTCCTTTATCACTAGTGAAAGCAATAACTGAAACTACTGAAAATTCTGTAGTAGTTAAGATAGTATGGCTTGTGGCAAAAAAATTGAAATTTTTCAAAGATGCTGCAAACTTTTCAAAGGAAACATTTAAAAATTTTGTCATCATATTAACATTTAGTCAGGTAAAAATATGCAAATTGTTTTAAAATGCAATATTAAGAAGCAATATCTTTCCATCATGCCAATAAAATTATTTAATATGACAATTTTAAATCATGGTAATAATAAGAAAAATGAAAGAGCCTTACAAAGGCTGGCCCAGCACCACTGACACCAGTCACTGCATCCATAAGTTTTTCTTCTGCTTCCTCAGTAAAGCCGATTCCAGAAAATATTTTTCGCGCTAATTCAGCATCACCTCTTCGTGTATGCTTCCCACAGGAAAACACAGTGACTCCAGCCAAAACAACAGCTGCTGTATTTGGTGTGCATCTGATCACACGAGACATTGGAGGAAGAATCTAGAAAAGACAACAAAATTTATATGTGGTAGGATATTCATTGATTTGTCTATTACTTACTATTTAAATCAAAATAGAAAGAAAACATATTACTATATTTTACTAATAAATTAGAAAGTTAGAAACAAAAATCAAGGAAAAAAACGAAGAGTTTCTAAAGATATGTATATTACCAAAACAGCACTTCATCAGGGTACACACTGTCAGCCAACACAAAGAAGCCTTTCTGTTTTCAGAGACAACAGAATAAGGCAAAATTAGAAAGGCTTCTGTGTGTTGGCAGACAGTGTGTACGCTGATGAAGTTCTGTTTTGCTTACATACATATCTCTAGAAATTATTCTTCGTTTTTTCCTTGATTTGTGTTTCTAATTTTCTAAATTATTAAAATTAGACAAATTTGGTTTTATCTGCTTTTCACGCTTTTTCATTTTGACTTATTGTTTTAAATGTTATTTTCTTATTTTGTCTTCTTCTGAATTTGTGTAATTCAGTTTTATTGTTCGATTCAATATATTTTATTAACATTACTCTATATTTTAAGAAGCAACGAAATTTATCTATATATCACAGGAAATTTATTTATTTGTTTATTATTTTATTTACTATTTAAGCTAATAAAATTAAAATAGTAAGAAAACTTTTTACTGTATTTTACAACTTAAGGATTATTTCTTTTTACTTGTTGTAGTTTAAACTAAACCATACAAATTGGTAATGTCAGCAGCATCTAATGAAAGCTAGATCTGTATTTATTGAAATATAAAATTAGTAAAAGAACTCGACCTCTTATTGCTGCCCTGCCCAACTCCCAGAGCAGGTTTCGAAATATACTTTGCAATCCAAGCTTGCATCGCTAATTGGATAAAGTTATATCTCATTCTTGCTCTGTATTAATGATGAAACTTCTGTTCTGACAGTCAGGCTGCTCTCCTATCACTGTCAAGGTGTAAATTCACCTCTTTGTTAGTGTGGGAATGCTTCTCGGTCCTCTGTGACCTGTCCACTCATAACAAGGTATCCCTGCATTGGGTACCAGGACATATGGGTATCGGTGGAAATGAGCTAGCTGACGAAGCAGCACGGGCTGGCTCTAATGCAATTTTCTGGGGCCCTGAACCTGCGCTGGGAATTTCTCCCTCCTCATTTAGGGCAACCATATTCAAGCTCTACGGCAAGATCGCCCATGAGCAGTGGCGCGCTGCTGACGGTCAAAGACAAGCTAAGGAGCTGAATCGAGACTGTCCTAGTGTACGTCAAAAGGAGCTCTTAAAGCTTAACAGAAACAGTATANTACATAGCTGCCAACATAGAGAGAAAAAAATCCAGTAGATTTTACGAAATAATATAAATTTCACGATAATTGTTGCATAATGTACTAAATATTTTAGAAGTAGGAAATTCTAGGGATTTTCTTAGTCATCAAAGTAGAAAAACTGCAATATTCTATAGTTATGATTGGCATTAAACATACTTGAAATGTTATGTATTACGTTTACTCATAATTTTGAACATTAATAGGCATTTAATTCATCAAACATAGTTCAAAGATTTTTTAAAAGTAATACAAAAAGATTACTGTGATTAAAAATAAACTGAACATTTTAGAACAAAAAAAGTTTTGGACTGATTTCTATAAATGAAGTTCACTTCATTATGTATTAGTAATACTTTTTAATTATTCAAGCAATATTCAGCACAAAAAATTAATTTCAAAAGGGATTTTTTAAGGAAACTTACTATATTTTTGGAATAATCTAAATTGTACAAAAACCAGGAGAATTTTAAATAAACCAGTAGACCAGGAGAAACTGGCAAAATCCAGCAGTCTACTGGAAAATCCAGTAGAGTTGGCAGCTATGCATAGGGCTTTCATGCTAATCATGATTTTAGGGTTTGGGTACAATAGACCTCTGGTCGATGTGCCCTGCTCGTCAGAGCTGCCCAACCTCTAAGTCTAATGATGAAACTATTTTTAAATTTAAATTCTATAAGTATGCTCATGTATATTCTGTAAAAGCTTTCACTTATATACATTTCATTTACTTTCTCTATATATACAAATATCAGAATTTTATGTAACACGCGTGACAATATTGTTTAGAAATTGCATTTTGAACAAATAATTAAAAGATTTTTGTTTATAAAGAAAGTTAAAAATTTCAGAGTTTCTTATAATGAATTCTGAGAGTATATAAAATCTAAAGAAAATGGGAGGGGGGAGGTAACAAAATGCAACAAAATACTTATTAATCGGGGAAATATTCCAGGGTTACTTTGCTAGGGATGCAATAAATATCTGGAGAGCATACTGCATCCAGTATATTATTGGCTGAAGTCGGTTCTTACAATTATTTGGTAGCAGATGTAGCCTAAAATTACATGTGAAAAATCACATAAATATAAAACAAAAAATTGCAATATTCAAGAATGAATATAAAAAAAAAGTTTACTTTTAATATTTTTAAGAAAATAATTCTTTCTTATAAAGAAAATAAAAACAAATTAGGTTCTTCCGTCCTTTTTCCTGAGTGGTAAATTAGGATGCAAAAATAGCAATTGTTCATCATTCTTTGAAAGTATTTGGTTGCACTTCTTTTCATAAAGTAATCCCGCATTTAAGAATAGTGTGTTACTGTATTTAGGAGTATAATTCACCCTTAATATATATTTATAATATTCTTGGCAAAAATGAAATAAGCTGAATGTCAAAAATAGGTATTTTAGTCAATAAAAATGCTATCAAAATCTGATGTATCACAAAGAACTAAGGTGGGTGTAAAAAACAAAACTTGTTTGATTATTGGAGGAAACAAAATTAGTAACACCTTCAAGTCTTAACCAGCAATTAAACAAGTTTTGATGCTCTGTACTTTTACCTTCTTAATTTGCCAGATTTTTATAGCTTTTTTTGTCTTTTCCTAGCTTAAATATTTTTTGCAACAGATAATGTGTTTGATTTTTCCCACTTGGAGAGACTGAAAAATATATATTAAAGGAGACCTTTATGAAACACTTTGTATATACTAATATCTGGGTATTAACATATTTTTTATTAAATTGTTTCTGTTAAATTAGAAAATTAAGAGAAGGGATCTATAAAAACAGGCTTTAAGCTTTATTTGAAAGAAAAAAAAAATTACTATCAGTATACTAGCTGAAATGTAAACATGGCGCAACAAATGATTTATAAAATGATGAAATTAATGATCACTTTTAATCAATGCTGACTTATTTATTTACATAATCAGGAATTTTCCAAATCAAGAAAATTTCAAATAAACAGCAAAATAAAGCATTGTGGTAAAATAAATATTATATTACTTTAAAATAAACTGTGTAGACATTTAGTAGTAGTGACAACTTAATGAGAAAACTCTTTTAGTCATTCAGGCATTATTTATCAAACATGTCTTTACAGAAGCAAAAAAACTTATCAAGGAAACTAATTTAAATCTACAAGAATAAAAGCATAAAAATTTCTAGCAGCCTACCCCAATATGGCTCTGAAAATGCAAATTTTTCAATTAATTAGTTTAGGATGATAAAAAAAAAGATATAAAAAATGATAAATCATCAAACCTCTTCCATTTTTGTTGTAGTAACACCCATAGCAGCTGAAATGATCAAATGATCAGCTGTAACATGTTCTTTTACTTCTCTCAAAACAGACCAAACATGATGAGGTTTCACTCCCACTAAAATAATCTCTGAATTTTGCACAACCTCTGCATTTTCGGTTGTAATGTGGCACCCTTTCTCCTAAAAAATAATAAATGCAACATGAAACGAACGGAATTGATGCGATTAAATGTGATTTGCAGTCAACATCCTTAATATACATTTTTAGAATTCTTTTAAACAAATGAGGTATAAAATAAAAAAAAGCATAAACAGTCGGAGTTCCCGACAATCAGTCATCAGGCCTCAACTCAAACTATAGTTATTCTAAAATAACTACTTATTATAAAAGGGAAACCGAAAAAATTGTTTCTCACATTTTAAATTTTTTTATTATTTTGTACAGAATATGTGCAGTTTTAAAGGATATGATTGTTATTAGAATGTTGCTTTAATTACAGATGCTTCGAGTAAAGACGCAATAGTTTTAAAATCATTTTAATAAGTGGCAATTCAAATCCAAACAGATGAATTTAAATATGATTTTCCAATAAAAGAATTTGCATGTCATGCATTCAATTAATTTAAAATGACTTAAATTTTCAATCATTTTTATAATTCTTACTGCAATATATCAACAGCAGATTAAAAAATCAACCTTTCAATTAATTAAATTTTCTATCACATGCATTTGAGTTAAATAATAACACATCACTATAAAACCTTTTTGTTTAGTGACTAGCAAACTGACGTTTATAATTAATAGGGTAGATAGAATAAAGATCAAATAATTTAGAATTTCTTAATTTATGAATATTCAAAGGAATTAAGTGTATGAAAATAAGTTTTAGACTATCTAAGCAATATTGGAACCAATATTAATAATACAATTACAATATACCATCAGCAGATTAGGAAATCAACTTTTTAATTAATTAAAATTTCTATCATTTGCACTTGAGTTACATATTAATATATGAGTATAAAACATTTTTGTTTAGTGATTAGCAAACTGACATTTATAATTAATAGGGTAGATAAAATAATGATCAAATAGTTTAGAATTTCTTAATTTATGAATATTCAAAGGAATTAAGTGTATGAAAATAAGTTTTAGACTATCTAAGCAATATTGGAACCAATATTAATAATATAATTAGAGTATACCATCAGCAGATCAGAAAATCAGCTTTTTAACTTATTAAATGTTCTATCATTTGCACTTGAGTTACATATTAACATATCACTACAAAACATTTTTGTTTAGTGACTAGCAAACTGACATTTATAATTAATAGGGTAGATAGAATAATGATCAAATAACTTAGAATTTCTTAATTTATGAATATTCAAAGGAATTAAGTACATGAAAATCAGTTTTAGACCATCTAAGCAATATTGGAACCAAAATTAATAATATGATTACAATATACCATCAGCAGATTAGAAAATCAACTTTTTAATTAATTAAATGTTCTATCATTTGCACTTGAGTCACCCATTAATATATGATTATAAAACATTTTTGTTTGGTGATAAGCAAACTGACATTAATAATCAATAGGGTTAATGGATTAGATAGAATAATGATCAAAAAATTTAGGACTTTTTAGTTTATAAACATACAAAGGAATTCAATGGATGAAAAACAGTTTTAGACTATATAAGCAATATTGGAACCAATATTAATAATATAATCACATTTTAAAGTAGAATCAGCTCAAAATAAACCTATTACTCACTTTAAAATCATCAAGAAGACTTGTGTTTCTTCTACTTAACCAGATTTCTTCAGGAGAGGCAAACCCTAATACAAGAATATAAAGCATATTAAATTACTCATTAAAAATATTTTTTGAATTGATTTTTTTAAAAATTATAACACAAATATTAACTAAATAAATGAAAATTAGTACTTTTATCAAGCTTATGAATTTTTTTCACATTGAAATTTTATTAATTATAATCACTTTAGTTTTCTTAAATATTAGTTAATTTTTTTTTAAACTTTTACAATTATGCACAATTAGTAATACACTGTAAGGTAACTGCAATCTTAAGTTTAAACAACAAATTAACATTATACTTTTTAGTTCAAAATATTTAGTAAATCAGTGTAAAGATATAATGATTATTATGGATTTATATTATTTTTTGATGATTTATATTCTTTTTTATTGAAAAATTCTTTTAATGACAAGTGAAATGATTAATTGCATAAATCAACAGTCATAGCCTTGTCTTAATAAGGATAGTGCTTGCTTTTAAAATAAAAATAGGTAACAAAGTTGTATTCCTTCAGTTTTCATTTGCCCTAACTGAAAATTCCATTCCAGTTCTTGTATTTGGAGCAAGTTTTAAAAAATGATATTGTGACTTACTTGAAGGTAATGGATTTAACCCTTTAAGTTTGCTCAATATTCATAATGGTTGTAGTCCATTTGGCAAATATTTTGGAGCTTTTATCAATATGGTAATATTTTAAGATAATCATTTTGAATTTCTCATTATTAGCTACCAATTTCTCTTTGAGCAGTTTTTTTCTCCAAAATATAATACCTTTACACTTTTATTCTTTAAGGTAATCACATTTTTATAAACTTATTATTTTTTTTATCATGACCATGGACAATTAAATGGCCTCGTGTGCCATAACCATGCCTTTTATAAACTTATAAAAAGTAAATTTGTCACCACTCTTAATTTAACTTATCAGGACACCGATGACCTCTGTTAAACTATGCTGTACTTACTGTTGAACATGTGAATCTTTAGTGTTTAAATACATGGATTCTAAATTATCAAAATTAATTCAAGTAAAGAAAATGTTATTGTAAATATTTTCAATTTTATAATATTAGATCCTAAGAAATATATCGTAAGATTACTTTCTAACATGAGAACACCACGTTTCATATTAAGTCTTTTAATAATAGGAGAGAATATTACTCAGAAATGATGGGATAAAAATATAACAGGTAAATACTGCTAATTAAGGGATAAGGAAATATTTAACAGGTGAAAAGTACCTTTATAACTTTTATTAATACTAAGTTGATGACAATCAAAGACATCTGGTTCACTGGTGGTTTTAGACTATTATTTTTGCATATCAGAAAGAGAAACAAATCTCATTTAGCGTACGACGATATATGAAAGACAAAAATTTAGATTACAGTTCGAAATTATAACTGACTCATTCATACATTTAAGTATAACGGAAATTTATAAAACGAAGTTTTAATAAGCTGTAATATACATCCAATTAAACATATTTTTAACAGGGTTGGGTTTTTGACGTCAAAAAGTGGTTTTTGACATGANTGTTTTTTTTTAAAAAAAATCATTGTTTTTCTTAATTTTTTAAAATTTATTTTTAAAAAATCCATTTTAAGGGGGCGTCATCATTGGGGGCCTCAGGCCATGGCCTAGTCTGGCCTAATGGGTAATCCGGCACTGGTTTAAATATAAGAATTCTGAATTTATCAAAATTAATTCAAGTGAAGAAAATGTTACTGTAAACATTTTCAATTTTATAACGTTGGATCCTAAGAAGTATGTCATAGGATTACTTTTTAACTTGAGAACGCCACGTTTCATATTAAGTTTTTATCTTGGAACAATAATTAAAACAAAACTTTAATAATAGGAGAGAATATTACTTAGAAATGATGGGATAAAAATATAACAGGTTAACACAGTTTATTAAGGGATAAGGAAATACTTAACAGGTGAAAAGTACCTTTATAACTTTTATTAATGCTAAGACAACCAAAGATATCTGGATCACTGGATCGAATGATAAATGGCTTTAGACGATTATTTTTGTATATCAAAAAAATGAAACAAATCTTATTAAGAAATCACAAAAAACTTCGTACAAGGATATATGAAAGACAAAAATATTAATTACAGTTCAAAATTATAACTGGCACATTCATACATTTAAGTACAACGAAAATTTATTAAACTTTTAATAAGCTGTAATATACTTCCAATTAAACATATTTTTTATATATAAATATAAATGACAACATATTTCAATTATATATGACGTGAAGAGATTAACCAGAACAAGTGTAGCTTTATAAATTAATTTAATCATTATAATTTATTAAATGCAAGATAATATTTAAATTTAAAACTTGAAATATAATTAAAAAAAAAAGATTTCACCTGAAGCGAGAATTCCCCTGACCAGAGCTTGGCCAATGTTTCCAGCGCCAATTACTCCAATTTTCATCTTTTAATTAATCTAATAATTAAAATGAATAAAATCAACACATTTCTTTATCATAGGCAATTAAGTATTAATAGTAAATCATATATAAAACATACCTGTAACGTACAAGTACCGGCAAAAATCACGTCACAATCACAGATCGTTAAATGTAAACAAATCATGAAACCAAATAACGTGCATTCAAGGTACAGTCACAGTTAAGGATGAAAACTAAAAACAAAGTTTAAATAGCACTGAATCGACGTTAATGTATGCGCGTAATGAGAAGTTTTAAATTCAAATTTTGTAGTAGCATAACTATGATATTGGTTCTTTCCTACGAAGTTACGTATAACACGTTTACTCTGTGGGTTCTTTTTTGTCGAAGATAAAAATTAAACGTAATGTTAAGCGTTTTTAAATTCTTCGGAATATTTGTAGCTCATCTTCAATGACGCACTGTAATCGTGTATGTGATATCGTAAAACTTCAAGTAGCAAAAGATATCTAAAGTTCTCAGGTATTTTAGAGATATAGGAAGAAAAGATCAAATCTTTATCAATAATCTTCAGCGAAAATTTACTTTCAAATAAATAGATTATAATTTGATTTTTTTTCGATTGCTTTATCACATAAAACTTACGTAAGACGTACCATACGAAGGTTTCCTTATGAAATCTTCATATCTTTTTCATTGAATATATTTTATTACGAAATCTTTATCATGATTATATTCTTTTTTTCCTTTTTTTAATTCTACATATTTTTTCATTGACTGTTAGAAAATTTTCTGTGAACTTTTGCTTGTCTCTCTTTTATCGGAATAATCAAAGAAAAATTTCAGTCTGCAAAAGATTTTTTAACAATATTCTTTTGCTTACGGCAGGTAGAATGAGAGGACGAGTCGACGAGTAACAAGTTCCCAATACTAAATGTCGTAATCACCGGCAAAAAGTAAGAAAGGGCAAAGTGCTCACATCCAATTCTGCTTCATATAATTAACAAATTAGGTTTTGAATTTCTCTAACAGGACTTAGACTCACTGAGGAATTTAAGTACTGCAGAGACAATATCCAATTCCTTTTGGTTTAGTCAGTACCGTCTTTACGCATGGGTGCACACGGGAAGTTCCCGGGCACTCCAGGCACCCAGGGGGCCCTTGAGAATTTTAATTTTTATAAGTTGTATTAAAAATATGGCTAATAATAAGCAACATTGCCTTATGTACTTTTCGAAATAAATATTGCCTAAAGTGTGCATTTTTTTCTACAAATAGTAATTGATTATCATGCAAACATCAATAATTTGAATTGTTTATCACCGAGAAAACTGAAAACGGCAACAGAAAATTCGTGAAAAATTTAGGTACTTGGGCATTGAAAGATGATTTAACAACTGTTCAGTTAGACAAAAAAACTCACACCTTTTGAATTTGTTTTGATTTGCTATACCTTTATGTTTATCTAATCTAATTATTTTAATTAACTTCCTTGGTTTAGAAAATTATTTAATTATTTAAGGATTACAACTGGTTAGCATCTCATTTAAAAAAAAAAAAAATTATTCATAGCTTTATTTGAGTTTTTGGGGTAATCATAATGTGTTTAAATTTTTTGAAATTATAGCATCATGTCTTAAAAATAATTTATTTTATGTATGAGAAGTTTTTTAGTTCGTTTTTAATTATTATGGCATGCTTTAGGGATCTAAAACATTTTTGTGCCCGGGGGGCCTGCATGCTATTAAGACGGCCCTGGGTTAGTGTGGTACAAGATCCAAAGAAATAACGGACCGGGACATGCAACTAAAGAGGGGCATCCAATCGACGATGAAAGACATTGATTTATTTTCTATATATTATAAAAATAAACTATTTCAATAAAAGAAATTTAATCAAGAAAACTATTTATGCAGACAATAATTTGATTTTTAAGCAAATTTAATAAATAAAGTTTTTTTTTGGGTCAAAATATTAAAAAGGAAAATCACCAATAAAAGTAAATCATTCTTTACATTTGAAATAATAATAATAAAAAACAACAACTGTATAAGAAAAACAAGTTTTTGAATTGNAATTTTTATTAAAAATATTTTTATTCAAAATCAAATAATTAAGTAATCATTGAAACATAAATTAAAGAATTGTTTAATCAAACAAGAATTATTATCGTCTTGTTTGCTGTCCAAATCTGTTTATAACGTTTTCGATAAATTTTGAGTCATCTTTGATTCTTTTCTGATGCACGCTGAGCATGCACAAACTACTTAATCTCTCGTGAGGCATTGTAGATTTATTCCATGTTTTGATGCTTCACATTGTACTAAAAGTGCGTTCAATAGTGCACGTAGTAGCTGGAAGAGTTAGGCCAATTTTGATTGCCTCCGCTACAGCTAGATAAAACGGTGCGGCCTCAATAACTAAATCGATGTATTCGAGCGATTCATAAGAATTTTCTCTATTCCTCCACATTTCGTACCACGTAAATTTGTGCTTTTTTTTTAAATAACGTTTTTAAATAACGTGTTAACGATGAAGAAATGTATCTTGAAAAAAATTAACAAATGAAAGTATATGTAATTACAAAACAAAATGTAATAACAGAATATTTTTAATTTCTTTTTTTTTTTTGGGAGATNGTTTGTTAGAGGGTTGCAGCCCCTTTTATATTATTCAGCCGGCGCCCTTGAGACTTCCCCTTATTTTCTTGAATGATCGATGGTTATACTGTTGTGCAAGTTGTAAAAAAAGGAAGAAAAAAAAGAGTTTTATTAAGAATTTGTAGTTACGCTGTTTTTTTCCAATCTCGTGAGTTGTCATTGAACCATCACCGCATAAACATAAAAAAATATCATAAAATAAATAAAACAAGTAAATATAATAAAAGAAATAAAAAGTAAATATAAAAAAGTTCTGAGATAGAGTTCTGGTGGTCTACACAATGTCTTCCTTTTCATAGAACCAGTAAAATACATTCATTTTTATGTAAAGCAAATACGTAATCCATGGAGGGTAGCAACGTAGCAACGACGAGACCCCAGTGTATACCTCCCCCCCCCGTAGCAACGACGAGAACCTAGTATATATCCTCCTCAATAATTTTAGAAATAACAATAAGTCCCCTCTTAATATTTCATAAAAATTAAAAAAAATTATCAGTATTCATGACTTTAAATTTAAAAAATAATAGTAAAAATAAATATTTTTTTTAAAACAGAAATTATTTATTTAGTAGAAAGGTGAAATGTGTAATTTTTTTTCTTCAAATGTGAAAGTTTGAGAACTATTGTTAGCATATTTTAATTTCTTCCCTTTCACAAATGAATCTCGTGACAGCGATGTGTAATTCATGTTAGAAAATAACGCTGGAGTATGGAGTTTGCAAAATGACACCGTTAATTTTATATATTTATGGAAATGCTGCATAGTTCATTACAACAGCATATAATGCTTTCGAGACTACTTATACGCATTAAACAAAGGATCTCTTACTATAATAACTGTGCCTTTGTATTGTAGAGATGATCATTCGAAGAATCAAATTTTTATTTCATTTTATTACTTTTTTTCTTTATGTAAGCTGCAGCCAACTAGTTAGCATTTTGATCTATTGTTTTGTAAAGCATATGGTAGACATATCTATAGTTTGTCTAAGTTAAGAGCTCCTACTGCCACAAAGTTTGCGGCCGTCTGGTGCTATGGAACAAGAATGGCGCATTTTAGGGAGGGTAGCTTCACTCCAGGACTAACACAATAGCCCGAAGAAAGAGATTCCCTTTCTTTCGCCGAGCCGAGCAGAAAGCACTCCAAAACAGTGACCTCGCACCCCTCCTTAAAATAGTCATACCTCGTTACCATAGTCACCGCCACAGGTCCAGACGAATGTCTGGTGGAGTTCTTATTTTAGACAAACTATATGTATTCACCATCTATCCCAAAATAGTAAACAAACCCTGAGGGAAGTTTTAATGTCCACCTCTGACGTCATAGCAGAACATGAATATTTCTTTGTTTTGCAGTCTTTAATGCATTACACCATTGAATTCAGCGTGATGGGTCTATAGGGAATTTCAAACATTTTAATTTCGGATAACAAATTAGTGCTTTGACGCATAGGTAACCCGAAAGCAGAACAACTGCCACCACTTGCAAACGATGTTTTCACCGTCGAAAAAACAACTGTATAGGAAAAACAAGTCGAACAAAAGATAATGCAAAAAAAAAAGAAGAAAAAAAAATTAAGGCAAGGGATTTTTCTAGTGGAAATTGAAACAACCTCTGTAAATACTGCCCCTACTGTTGAGTACACGAAACACGGTCAAGAATTAAGTCAATAAATTGAGAGAGATAGGAAATTAAATAACTAGAAATAATTAATAAATGGAAGCAGACTATTTAATCGAAACAGCTTTAGATGAATTACAGCTTTTACGCTTTGGAGATAAATTTATATAAGAAGAAGTGCAACAAAAATTTAGAATTATATTTATTTTTTGAAATTGTATATCGCGCGTAAAAAGTTTCACACATATATTTACAAATGAAATTTGCTAAAAGAGTTTGAAATTCAAGAATGTAAAAAAATCTTTCATAATGTTGTTCCTTAGGAGGAAATCTTAAAGGGGAAAAAAATTAAATTGTACAAAAATTACATTTTGACCTAGCATGACATATACATCACGCAAATTAAGAGAATTTTTTAAATCTAAAACAGAATTGCTTTTTCTCATGAAGAATTTTTTTAAAATTCTTTTTGAAAAACAAGTAGCAGCTAACAGAAGAAAATATTCATTTAGCTAAACCAAATAACTTTTTTATAGAAGCTCTTTTTGCGCCACGGCATATAAAAAATCTATGGGTTAATGAGTTTTAAGTCACACTAAATAAAGTTTCTTTTCATAAAAATAATTGTTGCCCGTTGATTTTTTTTCTTTTTATTTTTTTGTTGAAAAAAAATAATAAGTTGAGATTATGGGAATATTTTGTATAAAAAAATTTAATGACCTTAGAAGTTTAAAATAAATTCACTCTAGTTTAAAATGCCAATTCAATTTATTTTCTAAATTTAAAAAAAAATTCTAAAAATAATTTCTAAACTGACGAAAATTTATTTCAAAAATTAAATTTTTGCTAAATGAATTGTAAGTGAAAGTTATCTTTATTACTTCTGTTAGATATTTCTCTTTATATTTTCCTAGCGTTTTTTTTCCTAATAAAAATATGACATTTAACGATCGTGATTGATATTGGTTACAATAATTGTCCATGTTGCAGTGACATCGAAAAGTTCCAATATGTGATGTCATTGCGCTGATGTATTTGAAAAATTGTAAATTGGTCTGTTCAATATTTTCAACATAAATTTTCCAACTTCTTGATCTAAGAAACATTTAGCACAAATGCAAACCGGGTCCTTTTCCAGCTGCTCCTATTAAATGAAATATACTATCAGTTTAAAATATTAAAAGCACATTTCTTTGCATATGTAATTTAAAAATTTTTTTTTTTACAACATACTCTAAGTGGCTGCTTAATTACGACCATTTGGCGATTTCTGCAGATTTAGTGTAGTGCAGGCATACTTTCGAACATGGTTGTCAGAATAAGAAATCATACGTACAAATAATGTTGTTGACAAAGAACATCCATTAATAGCGAGGAGAAGTTTCAAGAAGATAGTTTTAGACAGAAATATTATGAAGAGATATAATGAAAAGATCATCTTTATTGAGTTGGCTCCCTGAACTCCCAGATTTCAATCCTGTTGTGCATTATGGAGATGAAATTGAAAATCATCCCCATCTAGTCTCTCACTATTGGAAAGTGTGATTTTCAAGCTCAAGAATAGTTTCAGATGCCATTAACATCTTTTAGTGTCCGTATCAAGAAGAAGTAATTCTGCATTAGAGTTAAAAGGTGGGTAGTGGGATCATGAGAAGGTGTTCGCAATAAAGATGTCGCTATATGTGTGTGTACATATATACTATAACGATTAATATCTTTTTAATTTTTATGAATAAATTGAGGCATTCCCGTAATTCCTTCTGGAGTTTGAGACTCCACAATTTCATGACTAACTGCAAGTGTAATTAGCACTACGCACTGACTGTCTTTGCTTTCCAGACAAGCTGGTACCCATCGATCTGAGGCTGAGTGGATTTCAAGCTACTTCTAGAGGTTTAGACCCAGTTTTTAGAATGCCATCCCAGTGCCTTAACCCAGTTGCACATGTGGAAATCCTAATACATCATAGAACTTCAAGATATTCACCAAGTTTCATTTATCAAACCTACGTAAAAATTGAAGATTAAGAAGAATTAATTTTTAAGCTGTTATTAATTGTTTATATTATCATTTATACATATTTTAGCTATTACTATAAAAACTTTTTTTTTAACAGGATTAGGAAGATGCACATTCTTCCTCATGATAGCTATTTATTGTAAAAAAGTAAGCAAGCTAGTATGCTGATTACAAAACACGGCTAATAAGTCCATGGCAAATTGAAGAACAGATAATACGAGTTGCGAAAAATACACCATAAGGTTACATGAAAGGATTCATACCCGCTACTTCAACTCAAAGACTAAATAATATGTTTTCAATAGCTTACTTTCTTGCAAGAAAAACATTTATGTTCGAATCTAAAACTTTCGTAGCGTAATATTGAAATAATAAATCAGGTGCTTGAGTTTTACTCGATACGGACAGCATATAATAACCGATAAACAAATCAAAAAGCAAAGATTACAGTATTTCATTTTTTGTTGTTGTAAATTTGACGCAGTTTTTTATAGTAAAAAAATAGCAAAGCAAGTTTAGATTCTTATCTTATTAGCTTTAATTTTTAATTTAAAATTATTGACTAATCCTACTTTTTAAACTTCCAAAATAAGCTGCGTACGTAGCTTCTCCAGTAACTTCTCCAATGACAGCTGGATTTTTCCTGATAGTATGGACATGAAAGCAAGACCCTTCTTCTTTTGGATATCCAAATGCTTCTATCTCAACTATATGGTAGTTTATTAGTCTGAAAAATAGAGGAAATGTATTAAATATATTGCATACTACATTCCATGTAAGTAAATTCTTAATTGCATACCTTGCAATTCAAATTTTTCCTTGACCATGATTAAGGAAAAAATAATACTAAAAGTTATTTTTTGTATGGAATTATCTTTGGACAGATTAATTTTATAATTGTATGCAAAAAGTTTTCAATTAGATGAAAGAGTTTTCGAGATATAGCGGAATACGTAAAAAGTAAAATTAACATTAAGGGGTCCAAACTTTGGAGCGATTTAGTGACCGAACTATTGGGACCATATTTCCCAGATTGAGGCTTCCCCCTATATTTTGGAGATCAGAAATCTGAATCCGTTGAAAAAAAGTGATGTTTATTCAGAGAAATAATGTTTTTGTATCCGATTTCGTAACTTAAAATATCCTCTATACTTCTTAATTAACATATTTGTGGTCACTCCCTCAAACTATTAAGATTGAATCCTAGATAGTGAAAATCCGATCATTAAATCAAAAGCTATTCAAGTGGTCCGTTTTATTTTGCTCACTGAACTTTCTACTTCTTTAAATTTCTTAGTTCCTTAACATTCGATTTCTTTATAAATATTAGACCGATTTCGTTCCTAATTTTGTATTTTACCATATAAAATTATATTTTTTAAAATGATGTAAACATTTTTATACCTAACAATTCAAAAATTTTCTGACTTTTATTGAATACAAAAAATAAAAAAAAATTTTTTTTTTTGTATGGAATTATTTTTGGATAAACGAATTAAGATAAATATTTTTGTGAAAATATTTTTCAATTCACTTAAATCCTTTTCGAGGTATAATAAGAAATGTGCAAAAAGTAAAATTAACCTTAAGGGGTCCAAATTTTCGGCCGCCCCCCAGACCAAACTATTGAAACCATATTTATTAGATTGCAACTACTCCCTATATGTTGAAGGTCAGTAATCAGATTCCGTCAAGAAAAAGGTATGTTTGCTTAGAGATAGAACGTTTTAGTGCCTGATTTCATAATTTAAAAATATTGTTAGCTCTAAATAATTAGCGTATTTGAGTTCATCCTCTGTAACAAATTTAGCTATATTAAGGAAACAGTTTTTTTTACCATTTTTTTTAATTTTATAAAAACACATTTATTGGACACAACAACAACCACACATTAAAAAAGCAAAAATAAATTGAAATACTCGTAACGGGTTAGTATAAACCTTAAATACAAAAAAACTAATCTTAACAAAAAAACCAACTCACTCTTCAAAACTATAATCAACAAATTCCAAAAATAATTTCGTTCCTTTATTTTTTCCTTGATCTCGTTACGTAGTTTTTTTTAATTCATTCTTTTGTTAGCCAGATATTTTTAAGTCTTTATACCTCTCGAACCATTAAGATTGAATTCTAAAATGTAAAAATTCGATCATTGGATCAAAAGTTATTCAGGGTGATTCATTTTTTTCGCTCTGTACCACAGAGTATAAGTTTATATACTTTTCATTCGCTTACAAACTGATTTGTCGCTACACCAGTAACCTAATTCACTGGTAGCTGATTCAATAATATGTCGATTCATTGATTTACTTTCTTCATTGATTCGCTTCCTTCATTGATTCATTGATTTCCCCCCCCATTCACTCCCTATTACACAGAGCATTCCGTTGAGTCATTCCTTAATATTTAGTTAAGATTCTTATCAAAAATGAAATAAGAAAAGCATATACATTTAAAGCCGCAAATAAATACTTAATCGATGAAGAGAAAAAAAAAATCTAACAAACTACTACCGAGGAAGGTGGGGTTAAAACATCAAAACTGGTTTGATTGTTATGGAAAACAGTGAGAAGTTAAATGTGTTGATTAGAAGCACCTTAAAGTTTCCTCAGATACAAAACTGCCTTTCACATTCTTAAATTTCGCATTCTTCTTTGATATCGTGACAGATTCCGTTAGCATTTGCTTCATTCCTTGGTTTAATATGAAATTACAAGCTTTAAAGTGTATACTTTTTCATTTCGAAAACGAAATAAAAAAGTATTCTTTCTAAAGTATTTTTTCTAAAAGATTATATTAAGGGGGTCAATTTTACGGAACAAGAATCATTGGCAACAACGATTAACATTGGAGCGAGCTATCCATAAAAAATATTAAGCCGGCTAGGTGGTCGGTGGGTCTGACTGCGTTTCCAATGGTTGCGGGTTCGAATCCAGCTCAGGGCATGGATATTTTTCTATGTGTGTTGTCCTGCGATATGTGAATGTGGCCTACCCTATGAACGGGTATCTGTGACTGTGTAGCTTGAATAATGCTGTACGACTTAGGTTACACAGGTATCCACCGGGTCAAGCTAAATGACCAACGCTTCTGGCATCTTTCGAGGCAAATTACAAGAGACAAGAGCCTTACATTATAAAAAAACACACTGAAAAAATAGTTCAGTGCCTTACGTTATTAAAAAATACACTGAAAAAATAAAATAAATATATTAAACGAGGTTAGTTAGGCGTATACATTTATTAAAAGTTTTAAACATCGTAATATTGAAATGCATAAAAAGCTTTCAACAGGGAAAATGTTGGACTGAGGTTGGTATTTCGTGTAAACGTTTTCAAGTAAATAATAATTTTTTAAAGCTTATGTTCGTAAATATAAATTAACTCCTTGTTTATCAACCTAAGCACTTTGATTTAACATGACCAATAAAACCCGTTATCGAATAATGTTATTATATCGATGTTCTGATTGGAGATATTTATTGAAACTTAAAATTTCAAAGTTTGTAATTCATGTTAAAGAAATAAAATCTCGTTAATTTTTAGAAGGTTGCAAAAGAATATTTCTCCCACAATCAGATAAATATTTAAGTTGATCGAAAACTATTGCCACAGATATATATGGAAAAAAAGATGTTCAAAAAAATATTTACTCTGGATCAGAGATCAGACGCCCTATAACATTGTCGAATCCGAGACTTGGAACTGCTAAAGCAGCAGCAGCCATTGTATTCGTGTTGTTCGGCGCTAATGCACAAACATCACGAACACAACCTGTAAGAAAAATCATATTACAGTCTTAGAGAAAGCTTAACAAAATGGAACTTTTGTTACAATATTTATGCGACTTGTATAAGTTACAGTCCCTGGCTAAATTATTATACGCACTATAAGATTTTATGTAAAATCTTATTTATCAGGTGATACTATACAGCTTTATTGTTTATACGAGGTTGAAACCGGTTTGCACTTGTTTACGTTCGTGTATCAATTGGTTAACATAGTAAAGCAATACGCTAAAAATAAATACAAATAGGAAGTATATAAAAATCTCCGCTGTAAGATTTCCTCTATCATTCACGCATAGATGGCAGCACCATCTTCCAGAAAGATGTCGCCACCAGATAAAAATATAAGTCACATTCCACGGTTCATTTAACACAACACAACTCAAACATAATCTAAAATTCCAATGTTCTTTATCTGACATGAAAAGTTCAACATAACTTAACTCCAATGTCCAATCAAATTGAATTTTTACGGTTTTTGTAGCCATGCTAGGTGTAAATGTAAACAAAACCGCATAGCTTTGTAATCACGCTTTTTTTAACCATACCAGTTGTAAGCGGTTTTAAAACCGCAAAGGCAAAGAAAAATTCCTAACAGTAAACATTACGGTAAATTGAATGGACAGACTGAAGCTGGTTATTTTATCGTGATTTTTGAATAAAAATTCTGGTTGGTAGGTTGGTTCTAAAGCCACTTGCAGTGCTAGCAAGCCTGCTTGGTGAAACCGAGCAGATTTGAGGAAGAGGGTGCGCTTCTTGTTTTTCAGTGGCGCCATCTACGGCGAAGAATTCGAATTCTGCCACATCATACGTCACACCTGTTTATAAGGCGGACCCATTCATTCATCCGCAGATCGTAATTTTGACCTGAATCAGAGAACGATTGATCTCCAATCCGGTTCCTCCAGAGGTATTGATTTGTTATGGGAACATGAAGGAATTTGCTCCTCGACAGAATTTTTACGTGCATCAGTCACCGAACTACACGGGGAGTCTTCAGCCGGCGGAGTTCGAACCTACGAACTCTCGAACATGGGCCCAGTGCCCTACCGACCAGGCTATCCCGGCCCATAAAAATTCTAAAACTATATTATAAACATAAAATATAACTTAAATTAAGCTAAGTATTAATAAGGGAAATATCTGTCTTGGTAAGCAGCAAAGTATCCAGTTATTTGCCCACTCCGGCTACTGAGGATATGGAACAACAATCTTCAGAGGAAGCTATACTGCGTAAAAAACTCTTCATGGTAAATTCTCTCTCATTTTCATAAGTAATTTAAATTTTAGATAAAGGTGTGGTAAATCTAGAGTAAACCATGACGTTTCAAACGCTGAAAAACATTAAACTTATAAAACTTGGGTCATTATTTAAAATTCTGCTATAATTTGTTTGACTTTTGATATTTTCAAAATATTTTTCTAGCATTTGAAACTTCATGAAATTTCAAACGCTGAAAAACGTTAAGGTTATAAAACTTGGGTCATTTAAAATTCTGCTATAATTTGTGTGATTTTTGATATTTTCGAAATTTTTTTCTAGAATTTGAAACTTCATGAAATTTCAAACGCTGAAAAACATTAAACTTGTAAAACTTGGGTCATTTAAAATTCTGCTATAATTTGTTTGATTTTTGATATTTTCAAAATATTTTTCTAGCATATGAAACTTCATGGGTTACTCTGCGTTTATCTTAACTCATTTTTACCTAAAATTTAAGTTTTAAAATAATGGGAACGAAACAGAATTTGCGTCCTCTTAAGTAGAAATTTGATCAAAACATTTTTTCCCCATTTTTCCAAAGTTTCTCCACCTGCTTATGCTGACGTGATTACGAAATAAAAAAGATACCATTCTTCTAGATAATATAGTATATTTATTCTAGATGTAATAATATAGTGTTCTGACAAGAAGCATTTCTTTTAAAATGTTTGTTTCTTTCGGTACTATTGTAAAAGAACACAACGAGGACTCACCTTCGTACAATAGGGTGGACTCTGACGTCACCATAGCATTTTTTTCTTTTAAGTGTCCTTCTAATTTCAAACTTTTAGGATGTTTCTTCATAGTAACAATAAGACTCTGTGTTGGTCATGAAAAATAATAACATGATAATTAAATATTTTTTTTATATTTAACGTGGAAAACAAGACTAAAAATCTTTAGATTTTACGTAACATCAAGCTGTAGAAAATTTTAAATTTGTTTCTGCAGCCTGATAGCAGTTTTTCTTTTTTTCAACATTTTGCAGTAAATGAAAATTTTTTAATTATTTAAAATACGCATCTAAGGCAATGGCTTAAATGTAAATACACGTAATTTTTGAATTAAGAATTTTTTTTTCTACAAAAGAAACAATTTAAACAATTTAAAACAGTGCAAAATATCATAAAAGTGAATATTCATAGGATTTCGGTATTAAATTTTTAAAAGAGGAAAAATGGTGTAAAGATTCACGGTATTCAGGCATAGATGAAATTTCTTTTTCCTCTAATGTATGACATTTCCAGCCATTTGTTCGTTTTGGAAATTGTAAAGTAAAAGTCTTTGTAATATTTAGACTCATCTATTGCTGTTTTAATCTTAACTAGTAAATAATTAATAATAAGCAAGCAGTAGTAAATTGCTTGCTTGTAATATTAAACAGTAACCAAACACTCTCAATTTCCCGAGGAATCGAAATTTTCAATCGTTTAATTACTTTAATAAATGACTTTTAATGTTAAATCTCTGGAATTAAGCATATAAAACTTTATAACTGTTTTTATCTTTATTTTGACTGTTTACACACAGTCTAATGAAATGTTTAATACTATACTGCTAAAATAGAAATAATAATTTAAGTATGAATAACTAAAACATGCTTGGCCATTAAATTTGATCATCTAGCTTGAATAAAAAAAATGTTCTAAACGTTTGATAACAAAACAAGTCATTTAATTTGCCACGACCTATGCTTTTGGAACCTTAGAGACTCTTTGTAAAGAAAAAACTTGTCTTTCAATGCAAGGTGGTTATAGTGCGACTTTGAGTAGAACTCCTCCAGACTAAAAGTCTGGGTCTGTCTGTTGTTATGGTAACAAGCGAGAGCACATTTCTAATGGGGGTGAAATGGAGATATGAAGGTGTCAATTGGTTTACTTAAGCTGACCTATGCAAAGATCAAGACAAAACTATTCACCCCACACCCCTATTCGAAGTCAGGGCTAAAGAGAATAGAAGGGCTGGTTCACTCCTTTGAAGTATCTCTTGCCGCGCCGATCCTCCGACGTCACTCTAGTGACGTCACTTTGGCGCAAAGCTCGCACTTTTACTTCAAGAACGGAGCGTTTGGCCTTACTAGCTCTAACTAATATTGGATCATTTCTTTTTGCGAGATATTCTAAGACATTTGTTATTTTCTATAATGACTTTCCTCAGTTTTTGCAGTGAATTTACAAGAATTTAAAACTATTATCGAAATGCCAGTTTGCGCGATTGCAACTTGCAAAAATTCTGATATAAAAACAAAAGGAAAAAGTATAATTTTTCGCGTGTTCCCTAAAGTAAATGAACAACTATGTAAAGAATGGATTCCGAAATGACACAGTTAATATAAAACAGCAATACGTTTATTCTGTCGTAAAGAACTTTTATAAAAATTCATTATCTAAATAGAAACCGCCTCGTTACTTCATAAAGAAAGGCAGGTGAAAAGAATTAAAAAATAGATAAAGTCAAAGAAAATTAAAATGTAAGTAAAAAGTATAAATAAAATATATAGTATATAGTTGAAATTCTCCTAATTTCATAACATATTTTTTAATGTAGTTATTCTAAATATTTATGATTTTTTTTAAAAATTATATTCTCTTCAATTTAAATATCTATATATTATATCATCGTAAATTTAAATGTCTATAAACAATTGTAAAATTTCTGATGTCATTATGAACCTAAATTATTATTTTGTTTCAGTAATTAGCGTTTAAGGTTGATGTTTCCTAATGATTAAGTATGAACAAATTGCTATTAACGACATATTTTAAAATCAGGGATTCTAAATTTAACTTAACTTATCTTTATAAAAGAATATGTAGATAAAAAAAGTGTCGATATATGCCTTCATTTTTCTTAATAGTTAAAGTTAAAACTGAACTTTTTAAAATAAAGTATTTATCGTGTCATTTTCACCAACTAGCAAAACATTTTTATAAGTTTAAAATGGTATTTTTTTAATATAATAACCAAGAAAGTTTTTTTTGAACTATGTTTATGAACGGAAATAATGTGTTAATTACGTAAAGTTTGAAGGCTAATAACCAGAAAAAGTCTAACTTATTTTTACAAGAGAAAGATGCAAAGTTATCATATCTTTGCTTGCGATCTCCGAGATCTGTAGACACAGTGACGTCATGAGGAGGGAAATCGTAGCTTCAGCTCTAAGAGCGGAGTGAACTAGCCCTTGTATTCTCTTTAGCCCTGATTCGAAGTGACTTTACTTCGTAACCATGGTAACCGCATCGAAGCGAAACTGATGTCTGGAGGAGTTCTCCTGAAAGCAGCACAGTACTTTTAACTGAGAAACATAACGCACTGCTGTGTGGACCAGCAGCTGTCTGCTCCTTTGTTACATAACTGCCGTATAAGAAAATCCGTAGCCTGCGTGGAGCCTAGGAAACATGCATACAAATGCGAAACGTCTTCGTTTAGATATGTTTTAACGTTAATGGGGCTCACAAAATTGTTTCAACTTAGTTTTAACTCTAAGAAAATTATTCTTAAGTTCAACTCCTAACTGAGATTATGTTGACTTCAAGCTGTAAGTAGTTATTAGCTTAACAAATGGGTGATTCAAGTTAAAACTTTTTAAGACGGTGAGAACTGTACTCACAAAGTTCGTTAATTTTTAAGTGTCAATGGGAAGCTATTTTCCCTTCTATAATTTATACCCTAGTCAAAATTTTTGATGGTTTTCCATTGATGGATCAACATATTCTTGATGGTCACCATCAATAATTTCATCACGTACCATTATACACACCATATTATTGAATTATTAGTAACCATCACACTAATGTAGGAATTCGGACTGATTTAAAAGGATCCGATATAAGAATAGCAACTTGTTTTGATGGTTTGTTCATGTTAATCCATCTCAAATTTTTATCATAGTTTCTTAGAAATCAAATGTTGGAACGATCATGAACAACCATTATCCTAATGTATGAATTCAGACTGATTTCCTGAGAGCCAACAGGAATTCCCATTAAACCATCATGAAAATGTATAGTTGGAACCATCATGGACCATCACGAATCATCATAGATTGTTGGTCCATGAGAATCAAACTCTTGATGGTTAACTATCATACTATTAAAGTAGCATTTTCCATCATGGAATGATGTAAGTTTGCTGGCATATCAAAAACCATGGACGCATAAGGAAAAATGTTGAATGTTGTCTCAAATAATGTTGGACCACCATGAATTACACTGAAAGCCAACATAAACCATTAAAAATATATGATGGGAAAAATCAAGAATTTTGACTTGGGTAACTACAGAAAATAAACAAGAAAAAAAATGAATGAATAAAATAAAGCCTACGAAGGGCTTTGTTTAAAAAAATGTAGGTAACATTAAAGGCTAGCAAGGTGACAAGAAGAGAGATTAACATTGTGGAGTTCTCTTGTGTGTTACGCATTTGTTTATTTGATTATTTTTCATCGAGTGTATTGGTAGTTATAAACACAGAAGTTTAAGTTTATTCACTAAAAAAAAAAATTTCATCTAAAAGTTTGGTAAAAGTTTTAAAATTTCATCTACCTTCCCACAAAGAAATAGTTCTTAAAAATCAAATTAGTTTCTGAGGTAATATGCTAAATGAATTTCATTTTATAAAACATTCTTAACCTCAAAAATATTTTAACACAAAATTGCTAGAAAAAAAGGCTCTATAAAGGATTAAATAAATAAGGTATTCAATATTTCAACTATTTTTTATCCAGATTCATTAAAAGATAACACTTTAATAGAAGTTGAAGAAAATACTTAAGATAATGCGTAAAATACGTTGAATAATACATATTTAAAGATATGAATACATAATACAAACATATTTAAAATGCGTAAGAAAACTTAAATGTGTGGCAGTTATCAACATCCCCTAGAAGAAAAAAAAAGAATTTTGCCTTTAATTATAAAATAAAATGAATCTTGAATTGGCCCATACCGAAATTCATTAGAGGTTTTCAAAAAGAAAAATGCAGCTTTACCGAAATTCTTACTTTAAATCCTAGTTCGAAAAATTACGTTTTAAAATTGTTTACTACATACTCGCATCAAGCCTGCATCTGACATTTTCCTCAGATCTTCTCCACCCCAAAAGGCTCCACTGGGAACATAAAGTCCATTTTTTGTTGCAGCCCTTTTTAAATCTTGCAGTAAATTTTCATCGCATAAGGCTGTAGGAGATCCGACCTATTGTGAAAAAAGAAAAAAAAAGAAAAAAAAACGTAATTGGAAACGAATTGGATCAAGAAAATAACTCATAAGATTATTATTGCTTGTGTAGTAATAACAGGTCATTACACTCCTATGTCAGTATTTAATAATTTTTGTCAGAGATGAACATTTGCATAACCTTGTTATATGTTATATTGAGAGATATTTAATTTTCATTTATTGATTATTTAAAAAGCATAAGGAAAAAATTATGCACATTAGTTGTTGTAAATAAATGGTCAATTACGAGAGAAAAATGTAAAAGTAGGTCCAATTTTGACGAATTATAATCGAGTTTGATCGAAGGGGAAACAAGTTTTAAACCAAACCAGATGAAGGATAAAGCTGAAAACGGTTTTTAATGAAAGCACAACGCAGTCTCCTCCCATTTTGACATACAAATCGATTTTTCGTTAATCTAATGGTTCTGTTGTTTTGATTAATCTCAATAAATCATGTTCAGAGTTCGATGAAAGTTAATGTGCATAATATTTTGATTTCATTTTTTAACGGAAAATTTAATAATATATATGTTTGGACCATCATTTTTACATGTATATTAACCCTTTGACGCATAAAATTTATTATACTTATTTTTCACATATTTTGCACTAATTTAGATCAAAATAAAAGGAAAATATTATATTTAGCACTTTAATAATTTATGGTTACTAAATACAACATGAAACACCGATGTCTATTTTTGCGTTAAAGGTAAAAATCTTCAAAAATTCGGCTCATTTCTAAACAATAATTTTTCAAACTTACTTTTAATTGCAGATATTTAGATCTAATAAGGAAACAGTTATTCATAATTGAAATTTCTTTAGTTTACAAAATTATTTATAGATAAATTTTTAAATAAGAATGAATATTTTTCTTTCGAAATATTATTTTTTTTAAAATTTTATATTTTAGAACATATATAATTCCTGTAATCTAACAGATTTTCTTAGTAGCAACTAGACTGTTTTTATTATAGCTATTTGTAGCTATTAGACTGTTTGCAAATTGCATACGTATCAACTATTTTTTTTTTTTGCAATAAAAAATAATAATAGTTTCTATATCTTAGAAATTAACTATGAATGTTATTAATCATTTTAAAACGTTGTACCTTGTTTAAACCGTGTCCATTAGAGAAGAATTTAGAACTTTTAGTAGAAACATAGATATTGCTTTAGATATTAAGTGCAGATAAAATAAAATGCAAATGCACATTGCACACGTATCTATTATTTTCCCTTTGCAGTTAAGTTAGATAATATTAACCGTACTCTTGAAATAGACTATTAATGGTATTACTAATTTTATAAATTTGTACATTATTTCACAGTGATTATCATAAAAGAATTTAGTACATTTCGTAGACTCATCGACATTACTTAAAATGGATATTAAGTAAAATGGAGATAATAAGAAATGTCAATGCAAATTGCATGTAATTTTTTATTGTTTTGTAGAAAAATGTATTAATAGTTTTCATATTCCAGAATTTGATCAAAAAAAACATTCATACCATGTAGTTGCAATGCTTTAAAATGACTTTTCCATGAGATCTAGTAATAGAGGGGTGAGCGACTTCCACAATAAGATCCACATTGTGTAGAACAAAATCATCGATATTATCCAAGATCAGGGATTCATTAATTTTTCCTCTAAGAGATGATATTGTGCGGTTCCAAACGAATATCAACTTAAAATTTTCATCTTGTACAATTTTTGAAGCTAAATATTGACCTAAAGGGAAAGAGTGAACGAACATATAAGGACTTGCCTAGTTTTTATGATGAATACAAAAATGCGTCAATCACATTTTTAAATCGTATTTTAAGGTTTTATAAGAGTATTTAAAGTAATAAAGTAATTTATAATTAGTATTATTCAAAACTAACTTTTCTAATTGCGGAAATTAAATAAATAATACTTCTTTTTTAAAAGAAACTTTCTGTTAAACATTTTTTTTTTCAATGATATGAGGCATTAAGTATTAATGGGGGGTAGTAAGGGGGGTTCTTATTATATTAAAACCCATTGTTTTAAAATTTGAATGAATTTAGGGA